AACTCGTGTGATGACACGGCGTGTTGCTCGTCTGTACAGTGTACAGTGTACTGTGCAGTGAAATAGCTCTATCTCGGTGCAACTCGTGTGATGACACGGCGTGTTGCTCGTCTGTACAGTGTACAGAGTACTGTGCAGTGAAATTGCTCCTCGGAAACCGTTCGGAATGACACATGTGCACATACAACTTTTTGCTTAGAATTTCCGATAGTATGACCTCCCAGAATACTGTCCTGTCCTTAACAGCAATGTTAAGTTAAAATTCAAATTACACTTAAACGGCCACTCATGTATGATGGCACTATAACGTTACTGGTCCGAGCTCAAGTATCACGTACTTGACTATATAATTACATACATAACCTTTGTAAGTAAGAGAGAATCGTTAAACAACATTGCGATCAGTCGCGGATATATCAGTAACTTCCGCACGTTTTACTTCACTGGTGCTGCCAACGTAAACGTATATATGGACTTAGGGCCGGGGGGAACAGGGCAACACCTAGCAACACGTATCTTTGGTACTGATTTTCTGGGGCTTATAGTTCTCACGCAGTTTTACTTTCTCGCCCAACATGACGTCATTCCCGCAATAAATGTGCTATAAATAAGCGACAGGCACTGCTTTTCATCACATCTTCGGCTTGGTCCTCTTGAGCTTGCCGAGAAACATTCCCTTTATGACGTAATGCAGCATTTAGACGCGTGTCAGAATTCGCAGCATTACTGTGACCGTCCGTCGCCCCAATGTTCCTCCATTGCTGCATCTTCGCATTACTGGATACATAAATTGACCGACAATAATATAGAGTGATTCTAAATTATGCTCAGGATTTCCGTGACCTATAATTTTCAAATCGGAAATAATAAAAGAAGACTAAGGGAATGTGAAAGTCTATCTCAAAACGTTTTATCACTTGTAGNAAAAAAAAAAAAAAAAAAAAAAAAAACCTTCAACATGCGCGCCTTTGTAGGAACGTAAACTGTCCCGGCGGTATTCAAGTGTTCTCCAGCATTTCCGGTATAATTGTTTCGAGGGGGTCAGAGTGGTCTTGTAAACATGCCCTCAACGTACCCCCACAGAAGGAAAGCAACCGCGGAGGCATCAGAACTGGTCCATCACGCCCAACCCAGCGCCCATTGGCCTTCGCAGTGCTTAATTAGTTAAGCACACGGACAACTTTGCTTTTTACTTTACTTGCATTATTAAATCTTCCATTCATTTGTTTTTTAAGTTTTCTTTGTCTATAAGGCTATCAATTCGCTTAATCTGGATGACCTCCCCCAGTTAATCCGGACTGTCGAATGTTTACGGTATTTCTTCGGGCAGGGGCGCACCTTTCTGCCGAGGCTGAAGATAAAATTAGAGCGGCCACTACGTACTGACCGAGTGTGGCGGGCCTGCATTCTCCCCCTACAGGCAATTGCGTTGCCACACCGAGCATTGATCTCTTATCGTCGGACAAGTTCTGTGACACTCACACACGGCAAACACATGTAACGTTGTGCTGACATAACCAACTTCG